ACAGTGCCAGGTTGTAGAGAGGTGGTTATTACAGTCCCATTACAGTGTCAGGTTGTAGAGAGATGGTTATTACAGTCCCATTACAGTGCCAGGTTGTAATGTGGTGGTTATTACAGTCCCATCACAGTGCCAGGTTGTAGAGAGGTGGTTATTACAGTCTCATTACAGTGCCAGGTTGCTGTGCGGTGGTGATGAGGATTGGACTGTCAGGTCAGGTTAATGTTCCTGCCAATGTGACCTGTCACTAACACGGCTGCTCTGTGACAGTTGGAACCAAAACGTTTGAAGAAGAATTTGCCAAAGTTGCTGAAACAGATAAAAGCTGAGGACCGCGTCTTATTGGTGGGAACATCGAGCCGCCCATTTGATGCCGAAGCGAAACCGCTCTTTAAGGTTTATGATCGAATCCTCCTGATTCCACGAGCAGACTACGCCTCCCGTTATCGTGAGTTCTAATTCCTGTTGATCTGTCCATGCCCCTTCCCCAATTGTCGAAGTGAGGTAGTGTTACAGCACTGACAGACATGAAATAATTTAACAACATGGTAGAGAAAGTCAGCAGGTCTGGCAGCATAAGAGGAGAGAGAAACAGTTCATGCTTCAAGTCCAGTATGATTCCTCATCAGAACTGAAGACTAGGACTGATAGTTTTTGAAGAAGGATGTGACAATGGTGTCACTTTAAAAGGTTATTTTGACCTGATTTTTTTTTTGTCGGGAGGTTGTAAAGTCTGACCCAGCCCAGATGTCTCCGTACCCCACTGGACACGGACTTCCAGTCACTAAAGCAGCATCCTGACACCACCCTCTGTCTTCTACAGTTGAGCTAATTTTGATTCCACTTTTATCAAGTTACCTGTATCCTATGTGCATTTGTCTTCTTGATAAGAACCACCAGAGTAAACAACTATGAGGCCTTCAGCGTTTTTTCAAAGAAAGGTTTGAGGGGGAGCCACGGAAACAGCCTGATGGGGTGTAGCCAGCTCTCTCAGACCAGCTTTTCTAGTTTCGTTAGCTGTGGCAATCACAAGCTGTTTGGGGCCTCAGAAAAATTGGAAGCTTCAGTGCATGGTTCCTAGCTGCTACTTTCTCTGAAATCTCTTGATGTTTTTTTTTCATCTTGGATTGGAGAAATTTATGCAAGAATCTGTGTTTGAATTTACCTTTCTGCAAAGGGGTGTATCAATGGGATGTTACTACACCAGAGCAGTTAATTAGTAATAGGTACTGTGTCTATTATTCAGTGAAGTTTTCCAATAGTAAAGTGATTCTAAATTCCTCTTTCGTCTGTTTGTATTTACGTTTAAATAAATTGTGTTCTGCTTTAATGTTGAGTAGTTTGACCAGTCGCATTGCATCTGGAACACAACACTTTAAACCTGCCTTTAAAATAAGAATAAGCTAGGGTCTAGGCTACCTCCTTAAAATATTTTGAGGGGTTCAGCTCTGGTTCATAACAAGGGTCACTGTAATCATTAACTCTGTTTTGTATCCACAGATTGCTGCCAGACCTGCTGAAGTTCTTCAGCAATTTCTGTTTGTTTCAGATCTCCAGGATCTGCAGTTCTTTGATTTTACTGTTGAGAGTCTGTATGTCTGTCCTCTGGAAACAGCGCTGTCAGAGAATCACCTTCAACATGTACCTCCATCAGCACAGGAGATGCTATCTCTAACTGTCTCATTCTGACTGTTAACCTACAGCACACAGACTGCAGCAGTTCAAGAAAGCAGCTCACCACCACCTTCTCAAGGGGCAGCTAGGGAAGGGCAATAAATACTGTTCTAGCCAGTGATGCCCATATCCAACTAGTGAACAAAAAAAAAACCCAACCCAAAGTGAACTACCTCCAGAGTATTTACTGCAGTCCCACATATGTGCTGTCCTTGTCCTTTAAATATAGAGTCCAACTTCATGGTGTTCCAGGTGCGGTCTCATCAGTTGGAGCAAAACTTCTGTACTCTTGTACTCTTTTCCCTTTGCTCTAAGGGTTAACATAGAGCCATAGAGCTGTACAGCATGGAAACAGACTCTTCGGTCCATCTCATACATGCCAGCATGCCATTGGCTTTCCGAATTGTTGGTGGTAATGTTCTGTTAACCTTTTGCGTTTCTTGTGTTCCCACAAATCTCTGAACGTCAACATTTTAAACTATCACACTTTTTTTAATATATATTGTTTTTCTAACCTTCTGAATAATATCTGGTTGCCCACATGATGCTCCATTGACCACCCCATTGCCCACCCACTGAACCTGTGCACTCTCTGTATCCTCCTCACAGCTCATATTGCCTCCTGGTTTTGCATCACCAGCCAACACAATCACATTACTCCCTGATATAAAACAAATCTCAAATAAACCTGCTCCAAAGCTCAGCTCTGACAGAAGCAACCTCATTTTCTCAAGTGTCTACATAGAACAGAACACCTGCCTCCTGGTACCATTCAATTAAATCATCTCCACTCCCCAGGACTTGGAGTCTGGAGTTTGAGAGGGGGCCGGTGTCTGGGATGGGGGCCAATGTCTGGGATGGGGGCCGGTGTCTGGGATGGGGGCCAGTGTCTGTGACAGGGGACATGTCTCACTAACACTGACACTGTTCATTCTCATTGCCAGTGATCTGGAAGAACCTCATTGAGGATCACGGCGGAGTTATCAGCAATACCCTGGACCTGACTTCATTGGCTAAAATCTCTGATGGGTACACCCCTGGGCATCTTGTTGAGGTGGTGAAGTCTGTGCTCACTGAGCACCGGATCGAGCAACAGGCAAAGGTGCCCCTGACTGCCAACAATTTCATCAGGGCACTCAGCAAAATCGAACCCATCTACCAACAGGAAGAGACTGCTTTCATGGTAAGGAAATAGGAGAGGAGAGGCAGACGGAGACAGAGAGGGTGGGGGGAGGTGGGGGGTGCGGTGGGGAGAAATGGAGAGAGAGAATGAGAGCTAGGCCGAGAGACAGTGTGAGAGACAAAGAGAGAGAGAGATAGAGACAGAGACAGACAGAAAGATGGAGCAAAAGAGAGAGATGGAAATAGAGAGAGATACAGAGAGATTGACGGAGAGATAGTGAGTGAGGAAGAGACAGAAAGGAAAACAGATGTGGAATGGTCAGAGAGAGCTATGGGTCAGGGAGGAATAGGGAGAGAATGTGGGGGACATGGAATTCTCCACCTCTGTCCCTCACTCTCTAAACCAAGGTGACAGTCCCTGTGTGTGCATGTATGGGTAACACTGGAATAGAGAATAGTAAGTAAATAGGTGGAATCAGAGCAAGGGAGAATGTAGTGAAGTCTAAATCAAGGTTACAGCGTCTGTGTGTGAATGCATGGGGTGTTTTTAATGAGATACAGGCACAGGTTTGCTAATGGAATTACTGTGACTGTAACAGAGACCTGGGTCAGGGAAGGGCAGCACTGGATGTTAAATATTCCTGGTAACAAATGTTAAGAAAAGATAGGAAATGCAAAAGAGGAGGAAGGGGGGTGTTTTTGGTTAAGCAGAGCATTGCAGTACTGGAGAAAGAGAACATTTCAGAGGATTCAAAAACCGAATCTGTTTGACCAGAGCTAAGGAACGAGAAGACTGCAGTTCAACTGCTCTGTGGATGAGATAGACTATTGTAGTGTGGGAAGGATGTAGTGTCACTCAGTGTTTACAGCACAGAAAAAGACCCTTTGGCCCATCCTATCCACAGGATATCCATCTATTCTAACTCCATTTCCCAGCACTTGGACCATAGCCTTGTGTGTTCTGATCTTTCATGTGCACATCAAAAATCTTCTACAATGTCGTGAGGGCTCCCAACTCTCTGACCCTCCCAGGCAGTGAGTTCCAGATTTCCACCACTGTCTGGGTGAAATCCCTTCTAAACGTCCTGCCCCTTACCTTAAAACTGTGTTCCCTGGACATTGACTCCTGTACGAAAGGGAAGCATTTTTCCCAATCTACCCTGACTGTGCCTGGATGAGTATAATGCTGTAGATGTGGTTATACATGGATTTCCAGGAGGTGTTTGATACAGCGCCACACAACAGACTTGCGAGGAAGGTCATATTCTGCCATCTTTATTAATTTGTGCATGTGTACAGTCAGGTGTCTGTGCTTCTCTACAGCCTTTAGAATAGTATTCATTTGTTTTATACTGTCTATCCATGCTTTTTCAACCACTGACCTGCTCATTACACCAACTTTGTCCCTGTCATAAGAACATAAGAACATAAGAACTAGGAGCAGGAGTAGGCCGTCTGGCCCTTCGCGCCTGCTCCGCCATTCAATAAGATCATGGCTGATCCTTTCGTGGACTTAGATCCACTTACCCGCGTTCTCACCGTATCCCTTAATTCCTTTATTGTTCAAAAAAAATCTACCTTTTTTTTAAAAACGTTTACTGAAGTAGCGTCAACTACTTCACTGGGCAAGGAATTCCATAGATATTCCATAGGAATTCCATAGATGTCTTTTCAAAGTTCTGCACTGACCCCTCCCAATTTACAATATGGTTTACAATCACGGTTTTATGCCAGGGGTTTTACAAATCTTTACATATAAGATCCAGATCATTCATAAATATTCATAACTACCAGCAAAAGCAAGGGTCCCAGTACTACCCCGGGAAACTCCACTACAAATCTTCCTCCATTCTGAAAAATATCCATTAACCATGATTTCCCATTCCCTATCACTCACTCAGCGCTGGATCGACATTGCTGCTCACCTTCTAAAGGCATGGTCTTTGCTCACAAGGCTGCTTAGTGATGCCCAGTTTGGGTTCCACCAGGGCCACTCAGCTCCTGACCTCATTACAGCCTTGGCTCAAACATGGACAAAAGAGCTGAATTCCAGAGGTGAGGTGAGAGTGACAGCCCTTGATTTCAAGGCTGCATTCAACTGAATGTGGCATCAAGGACCCCGAGCAAAACTGGAATCATTGGATATCAGGGGGCAAACTCTCCAGTGGTTGGATTCATACCTGCCGCATAGGAAGATAGTTGGGGTTGTTGGAGGTCAATCATCTCAGCTCCAGGACATCTCTGCAGGAGTTCCTCAGAGTAGTGTCCTCGGCACAACCATCTTCAGCTGCTTCATCAATGACCTTCCCTCCATCATAAGGTCAGAAGTGGGGATGTTTGCCGATGATCGCACAATGTTCAGCACCATTCGTGACTCCTCAGATACTGAAGCAGTCCATGTTCACATGCAACAAGATCTGGACAATATCCAGGCTCGGACTGACAAGTGGGAAGTGACATTCACACCACACAAATGCCAGGCTATGACCATCACCAATAAGAGACAATCTAACCACCGCCCTTTGACATTCAATGGTGTTACCATCACTGAATCCCCCACTATCAACATCCTGGGGGTTACCATTGACCATAAACTCAACTGGACTCACCACATAAACACAGTGGCTACAAAGAACAGGCCAGAAGCTGGGAATACTGCAGCGAGTAACTCACCTCCTGACTCCCCAAAGCCCGTCCTTCATCTACAAGGCACAAGTCAGGAGTGTGATGGAATACTCCCCACTTGCCTGGATAGGTGCAGCCCCAAAAAAACTCAAGAAGCTTGACACCATCCAGGACAAAGCAGCCGCTTGATTGGCACAACATCCACAAGCATCCACTCCCTCCATCACCAACGCTCAGTAACAGCAGTGTGTACCATCTAGAAGATGCACTGCAGCAACTCACCAAAGATCCTCTGACAGCACTTTCCAAACCCAAGACCACTTCCATCTAGAAGGACAAGGGCAGCAAACATGTGGGAACACCACCACCTTCAAGTTCCCCTCCAACCCACTGCCCATCCTGACTTGGAAATATATTGCCGTTCCTTCACTGCCGCTGGATCACAATCCTGGAATTCCCTCCCTAAGGACGTTATGAGTCAACCCATAGTAGGTAGACTGCAACAGTTCAAGAAGGCAGCTCAATATCACCTCCTCACGGGGCAACTAGGGATTGGGAAAGAATTGCTGGCTAACCAGTGACGCCCACATCCCACAAATGAATAGAAAATAAAACAATGCTCTCAGTTCCTTCATCCAGATCATTAACGTGAACAGTGCAGTCCCAGCACTGACCCCTGTGGATTTCCACTAGTCACTGGCTGCCATCCTGAGAAAGACCCCTTTATCTTCACTCTCTGCTTTCTGCCAGTCAGCCAATCCTCTATCCATGCCATTACCTTGCTCCTGACACCATGGGCTCTTGTCTTATTTACCAGCCTCCTGTGCTGCACCTTGTCAAAGGCCTTTTGGAAATCCAAATAGATCACACCCACTGGCTCTCCTTAGTCTGATCTGCTTATAACCCCCTCAAGAATTTTAACAGATTTTTCAGGCATTACCTCCCTTTGACAAAGCTGTGCTGACCCAGCCCCATTTTACCTTGCACTTCCAAGTACTCTGCAATCTCATCCTTAATAATGCATTCTAAAATCCTACCAACGAACCAGGTCAGACTAACCAGCCTATAGTTTCCTCTCTAGTGCCTCCCTCCCGTATTAAACACTCGTGTTACATTAACCATTTTCCAGCCCTCTGGGTCCCTCCCTGACTCCAGTAGTTCCATTGCCTCTACTATCTCCTGAGCTATTCCCTTCAGAACTCTGGGCTGTAGACCATTTGGTCCAGATGACCTTCAGACCTTTCAGCTTCTCCAGCACCTTCTCCTTAGTGATGGCCACTACAGTCACCTCTGCTCCCTCACACTCTTAATGTTCTGGTTTGCTGCTGGAGTCTTCCACTGTGAGACGTGATGCAATAAATTCCCTGTTTTACCATAGTCAGTTTATCCCATTCTTAGAATTCTTTTTCCTCACTGGGACTTATCCCTCTTTTCCAGGAACAAGAGTGTAACATTTCTAATTCTCCAGTCCTATGGCACCATCCCTTAGTGCAAGGATCACTGGAAAATTATAACCAGTGCCTCCACAAATTTCTCTCTCACATCCCTCAGTATTCTCAGATGGACCTGATCTGGTCCTGGTGACTAATCAACCTCACAAACAGCCAGCATTTCTAATAGCTCTCCTCCACCCAGTGACTACGCAAACTCCTCTTTCAGCAGGACATCAGCAATGTGAAGACAGGTGCAAAGTATTCAATACCTCAGATCCCTTCCCCATCTGTAAATCACTGTGAGATCCTGCATCAGTCTCATTCCTCTGTGAGAATCTTAAATTCCTTTTATGTTAGCTGCCTGTCTCATCTCATATTTTCTCTTTGCTTCTCTTACTTCGCCTTTTAACCTTCAGTGTTTATACCAGTTTTCAGTTGTATTGTCCACCAGAGATCAGTCAGAAACAGACTTTTTTTTCTGCTTTTATTTTGCACTCTTTTAGAATCATAGAATCCCTACAGTGTGGAAGCAGATCATTCTGCCCATCAAGTCTACACCAACCCTCTGAAGAGCATCCTACCCAGACTGACCTCATTCCTGTCACTCTGCATTTTCCATGGCCAATCCACCTAACCTGCATATCCCTGGGCTATGGGAGAAAACCACAGCACCCAGAGGAAAACTAACACAGACACAGGGAGAATGTGCAAACTCCACACAGACAATCACTGAGGGTGGAATTGAACCCAGGTCCCTGGTGCTGTGAGGCAGCAGTGCTAACCACTGAGCCACTGTGCCGCCCCAATCCAAAAGAGGTTTATCAGAATGGCTTCTGAGCGGAGGAACTTCAGTTATGAGGAGAGACATCAGAGGAAAAGTTTCCAAAATCATGAGAGACTGAACAGAGTAATTGGTGTGAGACTTCTGACTCATGAAAGGATCAAGAACAAGAAGGAAGCTTTAAAGTAATTAGAGAAAGAGCAAAAATGATCCAAGAAAACTCTTATATACACAATGACTGGTTAGTGTCTAGAATGTACTGTCTGAAAGTGCGGGGAAGGGCAGGTTCACTCGAGGGGTTAGGGTCTGGAATGTACTGTCTGAGAGTGTGGCTTTCAAAAGGGTA